AAGGTTTAGGGGTCAAAAAAATTTTTAGTGTTTAGAATTTTAAGATATAGGGTTTAAAAATCTATAATTAGCGGCATTTTTGCAAATGCACGCCCTTAAGTGGCATTTTTGCAAATGTGCACATAAAAAATGATATTTTTGCAATTTTTCCATGATTCTAATGATGCAAGTTTGGGAAAATCACCTCCCAATTAATGCATAAGAGATTCATAAAACTGAACATACATAAAAGAGATGAGATAAGTATTCTTTAAATAATTTAATTGAATGATTTACCTTTTACATATTAATTTCCTTATTTTAGTTATATATAAAATTATACAGAAGTGATCAAATATCACAATATTGTTGTAATTTTTAATACTAAAAATTATATTTAGTCCTAAAAACCAAACTCGATGTTGAACCTAATAATTTTTTTTTTGAAACTAAAATATATATTTGGTTAAAATTTGAATACGAATTGAACTATACTTTATCGTCTTTATATATGTTTTTAATTTAAATATTATTATTCATGAACCTAAAATTGAAAAAACTTACAAAATCAAAACTGCTAAAAAGTTTGAATAAAACACTATTTAAACTTTCACTATAAATTATGATTTTAAAAAATATTAATCCGCGTAGAACGCGAGGAATCACCTTAGTTAATTAGTAAATTGTATGGAGTTTTTAATAACACAGACCACGTAAAGTCACGTAGTGATATACTAGTTTTACCAACAGACCGTGTCCAATATTTTTTTCTTTACGAATAATAGTTCATTCAGATATTCAATAATGAAAATACAATATGAAAACAAAGATATTATCTTACAATATACATTTGTCATATGTCTTGCAAGGTGCACCGGAAAATATAAATTGAGTACATTTAATATAGCACAAGGGACATGGATGGGTGTTAAAAAAACAAGAGTCAAAGAATGTACCAAAAACAAAACCTACTAAAATACAAGAAACAAAACATAAAAAGAGAGAGAGATCCAATAATAAGGTTCTGTGATCTACACTCTTCTTCATCCCATAATTTTTCCATTTTTGGCACACATTGTTTTTATTTATTTTATTACAAATAAATCTTGATCACATCATCCATTTGTTTGTCATAATTCTTTCATATATAAAAAAATTAACTTTTTGATTTCTCTCGATCACGGAGGCTCCCATCTTCTAGGGCTTGACTTTTGTTTGGCTCGCTATGCATATTAAAATATAAAC